GTTTTCATTTTAAGGATTTGCCACTGATGATTCAAACGCGAGTTTTGGGCAGTGTGGATTAACGTTAGCACTTGTTGTTTGTCATTTCTCTGATCACAAATGCAGACAGGGTTTTATGTTTACGCGGCGCAACGTAACGCGTAAAAAGACAGTATAAGTCATTATAATCAGTAATTATGTCCCCACTGGTTGCAACAAATGCCTCGTTTGTAATGGGTTTTAATGTTTATGTCTCGTCGCTCCGGCCGGACACGGTATGTGAGGGGCGTAACATTTCCGTCTCACGCTTGAGGTATTCGGCCAATCATAATGCACTGGATAGCTGGCCAATCACAGCACACCTCGCTTTTTCAGACCGATGAGCTTTATAAAAATCGATGCTTTTCAGAAAGGCGGGGCATAGAGGAGAAACAATAATGTACAGTATGTGGAAAATAATGTGTTTTTTGAACCTTAAACCGCATAAACACATTTCATTACACCAAATACACAAAATAATGTTCTTTTTAGCCGCATCATATGACCCCTTTAAGATGGGTTACATGAGAGCTATAATGACAGTCTTCACTCCTATCGGTTAAACTTTTCTCAAATTTGTTGCATAGCTGTACATGCCTACACCCTGTAGGCAGTGGTTGCTGTCACTTAGCCTATGTCTCCAAAGCCGCCAGCAAATGCTTTGTCCTTGGAAGTCTCTGTATGTCTGAACGGGTCTTTATGCAACTAGCAATATTTGAAAACATACAAAAGTGTTCAGCATTTGACTGAAACCTGTCCAATCTTTATCTCTTGCAGGGTTGACCTACAAACCATTCTAAAAAAACTGCTAAGTAAAGTTGATGAAAACCTCTGCCCAACAGTGAACCAAATCAACATATGCAGAGAAAACATACTGCAGTGCAGTCTGCAAGCATTCAAGCGGCGAAGATTTAACCCAGAAGCAAAACTGGATATAGTTTTTGTTGATGCTGAGCAGAAAGGTGAAGGGGCAGTGGATGAAGGTGGCCCATCAAGAGAATACATGCGGCTGTTGATGCGAGCCATCCATCAGTCAAAGATTTTCCTGGGCCATGAGAAAGATCGGAGTTTGGCTCTTGACACTCAAGGTCAGTACGCCTGCCAAAACAAAACACTTTTGTGTCAGGTTATGTTGTAATGCTAAATATAATGGTAGAATTGTGTGTGTTATGACTGGCTGTGAGATGCTTGATGTGAGATCCACGAATCAGAGAGGTTACTAATTTTGCATCATGAAAGCACTGCAAGTAAGAGTTTGCAAGTGCACTTTAAGGGATAGTTCTCTTAAAAAAAATTACATTTACTCACCATTTACTCATGCATTTAGCAGATGCTGGAACACCCTCAGGTTGTTCAAAATCAGTTTTTCTACGGAGTTTCTACTGTTGAACACAAAAGATATTTTGAAAAATATGGGTAACCGTTACCCATTTCATTTACTGCCATAGTAGGAAAAAAACCTACCCACATAATCACATTAATGAGGGCTCTACAGTGTGACAATTTCTGAAAACTACTGCGTGCAACTATGAAAAAAATATTTAGGAGCACCAGTGCGCCTGACCCCAATCAGCATATTTGCTCGGGGAGCTTCAATGATTTCTACTTACAACGTGTTTTTGCAGCGTTGAGTAATGTGCTGAGTTATGCAAGTTCACGAATCTTCTCATTATAACAAATGAAGCAGACACGATGTAAATAAGATATTCACTGATTATAATGGAACTTTGTGAAATTGTGATGATGAGTGAAAGCTTTTAATTTTTCATAGACAGTCAGTTTTATATTTAAAACATTCTAAACATGAATTTATGAATTTAATTGCACTCATGCCACCTCTGAGCCTCATTAAATGTCTGTAAATATACCTACATGCCACTTTTGTGTTCTTCTGTGCCACCTCTGTAGTGCAAATGATTTTTGTTAATACTTTTTGTTTTTGATCAGTAAAATAACTTATTCTTATTCTGGTTTTTTTTATTATAAATTTTGAAAAAAGCTTATAAATATACACTTTTGAATTTGACATAAGATGACATACTTTCAATAAAGTTACATTAAAAAGTTACAAAAATTCCCCTTGTAAATCACTTTAGGGAGTCAAATATTACCTCTTGAATGATTAATTGATTATTGATCAGAAGGTGCTCCTGAATTTTTTTTTTCTGTGCTCCACAAGTGCTCCTAAAAATAAACGTAAGTGTGGAGTCCTGCATAAATTTCTCTCTCTTAATCACTTGTTTGGATTGGTAAAGGTCTATGATTTCAGGACTGTGTGCCTCACTGTGTTACATTAGAAAAAAAAGGATGACAGTTTTTTTTTTTTTACCTGTCCGCTTGTGATCAGATCACTTGAATCCAAATACTAAACATTAAGCCTGTGATGATTGGGGGAATTTTTTTAACTTTTAAAAACATGAATAATTGTTCTATAGGAATTTCTGATATGAAGGTTTCTTCTTTGTTTTACTTTAGCTTTGCAGACTAGGTTATACACAGTAATTGGGAAGATGATTGCTGTGTGTGTTGTCCATGGAGGAGTTGGCCCACATTTCTTCTCTGAAAGGCTTTTTCAGCAGATCTGTGGTATGCCAACATCCCCTGCCTCGTTGGATGAGGTTGGAGATCATACATTGAGGGAGCAACTAATCAAGGTGAGGAGATGCTTAAGAATTGTGCCATTACAGAGGCAGCAGACAGTTTAAGTATCATTGGTGCCTTGAGATATGTATCAAGCCTGACAGAAATGAACTCTCTATAGCCCAGTCGGCTGCAGAGTTCTTTGTGAATGGAAGACTGCAAGCTGCCTTGGAACAGTAAGTGCCTTTCCTTTCCTTTCCTGACAATATATATCAGCATATATCATTAGCTTGAAACTTATTTTGAATGCTTTGTTTGTTACACAGGTTTTCAGAAGGGTTGCAAACTCTTGGTTTACTGGATGAGATGCAGAAAAATTCTGCATTGTTTTATGACATGTTCGTTAGTGATGAGAATGGCCAAACTGAGCAATTGATGGAGAAGGGCTTTGGTTAGCATGGTGACCAAGAACCTGATGGTCACTCTACTTGAGCTCCATGATCATATGTGGAGATAGGAGAAATCTACAGAAGGACAAACATCGCTGCAACACTCTACCAATCCAGTCTTTATGGTGGTGTGGCCAAACTCAATCCTCTTTTCAGTTAAGACACATGAAAACACACTTGGAATTTACAAAAAAGCACCTAAAGGACCCTCAGACTCCGAGAAACAAGATTCTCTGGTCTGATGAACCTCAATTCTAAGCATCATGTTTGAAGGAAACCAGCTCCGCTGATCACCTGCAGAGTACCATCCCAAAAGTAAAGTGTGCTGGTAGCAGCCTCATGCTGTGGGGCTGTTTTTCAGCAGCAGGGACTGAGGGACTCATTAGAGTAGAAGAAACGCTCAGTGCAGCAAAATATAGAGATAGCCTTAATGAAAACCCAGTCCAGAGCATTCAGAACCTCAGACTGGGCAGAAGGTTCACCTTCCAACAGGACTATGACCCTACGCACACAGCAAGAGTGGCTTATAGACAACTGTGTGAATGTTCTTGAGTGGCCCAGCCAGAGCCTGGGATTGAACCCAATCAAATATTTCTGGAGAAATCTGAAAATGTGCATCTGCCCCCATCCAACCTGACAGAGTTTGAGAGGTGAACAGATGAGGTGAAGAATGGCAGATAATTGCAAAATGCTGATGAGCAAAGCTTGTCGCATCAAACAAAAAAAGACTTGAGGCTGTTAAGGTTTCTTGCTTCAGCTAAATATTTAGTTAAGGGTATGAATACTTATACAATGTACTTATTTCAGTGTTTTTTTTTAATTTTTATAAATTTACGAAGTTGTGACAATTCTGTTTTTACTTTGTCAGTATGGTGTATGGCAGTGGTTCCCAATCCTGGTCCTGGAGAACCCCCAACACTGCACATTTTAGATGTCTCCCTATTCAAACACACACGATTCAACTACACTGCACATTTTAGATGTCTCCCTATTCAAACACACCTGATTCAACTCATCAGCTCATTAGTGAAGACTCCAAGACCTCAAATGTGAGTGTCAGATAAAAGAGACACCAAAAACGTGCAGTGTTGGGGGTTCTCAAGGACCAGGATTGGGAACCACTGGTGTATGGAGTGTAGACTGATGTGGAAAAAAAAGTAATTTAAAGAAGTTTATCATAAGGCAGCAACATAAAATGTAAAAAAAAAATCAAGGGGTATGAATACTTTCGCAAGGCACTGTGTATCAGCATATATCATTAGCTTGAAACTTATTTTGAATGCTTTGTTTGTTACACAGGTTTTCAGAAGGTTTGCAAACTCTTGGTTTACTGGATGAGATGCAGAAAAATTCTGCATTGTTTTATGACATGTTTGTCAGTGATGAGAAGCCCCTCCAGGCAAAGGACCTCTGCAGTATTTTTAATGTAATCTTCTCCCCACAAGGCAGCAACAGGAGGGCTAGAGAAAACCAGACCATATGACACTGGAGAGACTGGTTGATAGATGTTGAAGGTATGTCATGATTTGATGTATTGTTACAGGTACACTATGGTTTTTGGTAGCTTTAGGTAACTTTTTTTTTTTTGTTCATATTGATATAATGAGCAAGTACATCATGAATCCATCTTCAAAACTGCATGTCCTATCCTGAATCACTATGACTATATAGTAAGTGTTTATATTCAGACTGTTTTGATCCAAATGGGACGCCAACCTCTGTGGCGAAAGCCAGTACCTGTATGACTTTTATACATAAACAGAGAGAAATAACTCCCACTACAGTGTTATTGCACAAGACACATGCAGTTTTATTATTCGCTAGAGTGCCAAAGTTATATAGTGTACCTTTTAAGCCTCTGATAATGATAGTTCATTTTTTATTTGTTGGTGGTCCTCTGAAAAGGGAAGATTGAAAAAATCTAAAATCTTAAAAATCAATGACAGATTTATATGTTTTGCAGAAGTAATACAGTCACTCTGGAGATGATCATGGAGTTTGCCACTGGAGCCTCCACAGTACCACCGCTGGGTTTCCCCCACCACCCACAAATAGAGTTCCTCCATCAAGATGGAAATTTTTTTCCAGAGGCCAATACTTGCCTCATTGTACTTCGCCTGCCAATACACACCGAGTATGAAATGTTCAAGAAACACATGACAGAAGGAATTGTGCAGAGCCCAGGTTTTGGTGTTGCCTGAACTAGTTTTAATCTAGACTAAAAATGAGAAATTAGTCATGGTTTGCACAGACATAATGGAAATCTCATCTGTCTTTAAACTGTTTTAATGTTAGCTTTTCATATAAAGTACATAAAATAATTTTAGGTGCAGTTACAGCAGAGTAGACCTTATGGTTCCCTTTAAGAAGCACTGTTACGTCAAATACATGTTTGAGATGTGCATTCGTTCCAAAAGAAAACTCATTGTTTTTCATTATGCATATGCATTTACTGTTACATGACTCAAATTTTTACAGTTCAAGTCTTGTTTCATTTTTGTCCACTTGTTTTTCATTTAAACTTTGTTCAATGTCGTTGACTACTGAAAGTATGAAATGTTCAAAAAACACATGACAGAAGGAACTGTGCAGAGCCCAGGTTTTGGTGTTGCCTGAACTAGTTTAAATCTAGACTAGAACAGTTAAGACAAAAAAAGAGAAATTAGTCATGGTTTGCACAGACATAATGGAAATCTCATCTTTCTTTAAACTGTTTTAATGTTAGCTTTTAATATAAAGTACATAACATAACTTTAGATACACTTACAGCAGAGTAGACGTTGTTATTCCCTTTAAGAATCACTGTTCCGTCAAATAGCTACATGTTTGAGATGTGCATCCGTTCCAAAAGAAAACTCATTTTTCATTATACATATGTGTGTTTGAGGAAAAACTGCTACATTACATAATTTTTTAGTTTGTTCAGGTCTTACTTCATTTTTGTCCACTTGTTTTTCATTTGAACTTTGTTCAATGTATGTGACTACTGAAAGCATCAATTTTGTTCAATGTATGTGACCACTGAAAGCATCAACTTAGTTCAATGTATGTGACTACTGAAAGCATCAACTTAGTTCAATGTATGTGACTACTGAAAGCATCAACTTAGTTCAATGTATGTGACTACTGAAAGCATCAACTTAGTTCAATGTATGTGACCACTGAAAGCATCAACTTAGTTCAATGTATGTGACTACTGAAAGCATCAACTTAGTTCAATGTATGTGACCACTGAAAGCATCAACTTAGTTCAATGTATGTGACTACTGAAAGCATCAACTTAATGTTCAACAGACTGTTGCCATGTTACAGTTAAAAATGTTAAAAAAGAAAGAGTCTGTAACACTAATTTG